GGGGTCGGGGTAAATATGCAAATCTATTTTTATAAAGACATTGTTCAGTATTTTAGGCTTAATCTTAAGCCACAATTGATAAATGAACATTAAACATTGGAACAGACTAGTCTTTATATCAAGAATTGCGGTTTTTCTTTTCTAATGAATCACCCGGTTCATGAAAAATCTACACACATCATTCAATCGATAAATCAAAGAATAAAAAATAAAAGTCAATTGAATACTGGGAAGAAACTCAAATTCGACGAAAGGTATAAAAACGAATCCTCACTACTCATTCATCAACACCAAATTGACTCTAATTAAAAAAAAAATTTCATCATCACGATTTATCAATGAAACACGAGAGATTCGTGGACTACCCTCCCTGTGAGCCGTCGAGTATCGAGCTTCTTCTTAGCTCAAAAATATATTAAATTGAAAAAAAAAAATAAAAACAAATACAATAATAAAGAAACAAAAAATAATAAAAAAAATTAAACTTTTCAACATCATTCTCACCTATTTCAAACACTTATCTCGTCATTATCTCACTTCACTTCTAATCCACAACACGGTCTCAGAAATGAAGAGAATACGCGTTAAAAATTTCGCATTGCAATTCATTCCCTATTTGAATAGTCATCACCTTAATTCAAAAATTTTCTTAAATATCTAGAGACTTTGCGATACAGTGAATTTTTTTCCCGCTAATACAGAGGCGATGAAGCGTGATATCATCCTTTAGTACGCACTTGCTTCGTCCCTCGTATTATCTTTGATTGAAAAAAAAAAAAACATAAAGTCATCAGTTATTCACTCCGAATAATTCTGTCGTGTTCAACGTCTCAATGACCCCCCGAGGATGTCAGGATTAGTCAGTGTGTTCCAGCCTCTCTAAATCAGTGGAAGAGGGTGAGGAAAGTGTTGCACTGTCTCACACAATTTGCTTCAAAATTCATCGCTTCCCTTTTCCCAACTTGTCACTTGCCTCCTGGTGACAATCGATGACACTCGAGTGCAACTGATCGTCATCGAAGGGTCGTTAATTGTCATTCCACTTACGTTCATCTTTCATTCATCATTTTGCAACCCCCAGGCTTCGCAAACAGCCGAGGAAGCCTCGCTGAGTCATAATTATCAGTTTGTCTTCATCTTTTCGTCGAGTAAACGGTTAATTTAGAGAGTAGTAAAGGTGTGGAGTAGCAAGAATTAGATTAGCGATAAGATTCAGTAGTAAATAGTGACGAATAGACGGTATAGATAGTGGTAGATAGTTAAACGGTAGGGGGAGAGGGGGGTTCTGGGTAATAGAGGCTGGGTTGACAGTTAATTAGCTAAGGGCCGCGACGATCATTAGGTGCGATGCAGCTGGGGTTAACACCAGCGAAATGGTACGGCTCGTGGTCTATCTGCGCCTTCTTTGACCAGGGGCTTGTGGAACTCTCGACCGGGCCGGGAGTGAATTGTTGCCCAGCAGTGTTCACAGTAGTACTGAAATCAGTAAGTGTTTAGTGATTATTTTTCGGGATTTTTTAGAGCCTAGTTTGGGGGGTCACTCTGGAGGGAGACAACGAGTGAGCGATAAATTAATAGATCTGAAATGTCCCGGGCCGTTTACCATTCATGCATTTCTTGATTGTAAATAGTTGGAACACCTGAGAGTAATCCACGAATTGATTGAAAGTAACGAAATTAGAATCTAAGGAAAAGCAATACTACTGGGTAAACAAAAATGACATTGAACTAATGTTGAATTGAAACTTCCTGTTTGAGAAGGTAAACCCACTGGAGGTTAATACTTCAATAAAAAACAAGTTTGGGGTAAATTCAGTAGCGAAAAGGTCAAACTGTTTAAGTCAATTTAGTCTTTAGTTGAGTTTTCAAGAAATATTTCTGAGTTTAAAGGAGATAGCGAAATTTTCATAATAACCTTTTTTGTGGAACAAATTAAGTGCTACTAAAAAGGTTATGAGAAAAATTTTGATATCTCCCCTAGATTTCGAGATATTCATTGAAAACTGGCCAATAGCCAAAATCAACTGAAACCGTCTGACCACTTCGCTACTGCATTGCCTACACTGACGGAAAAACGACAAAGTTCTCAAACAAGTCTTACTTGTGCCAAGAAAATATTTTTTTGAAAATTATCAAAAAGGATTTTTTTTGTGCCAAACATGCAGAAAGTGCGCCGGAATGAGAAATTTTTGTCGCAAAAATAGATTTAGTAGTTCAGTGGACACTACACTTCTCAAGAACTGCACCGGGGGTTTCAGACAAAATTTTTCAAGTGTGACGACGAGAAAATTTTCTACAAAACTTACCTGAAGGCAGGTTACATTTGCACAGAAGAAGGGAGCAAATTTGCCACCGCAACGTTGTCCCTGACACTCGTCGCACATTTGATCATCAAGAACGTAGGGTTTCACCTCGACCTGTGAAGAAAGAATCAAAAGTTAATAGACTCGATCTAACGCAAACTGAAAATGGGATGAGACAGTAAAAAAAAATTTGAAAATTCGAGCCGAGGAATTTCTACAGAAAACGTCTCAATAAAATAAGTCCCACAGAAAAATCCAATTCCATTCATTTTTTTTCTACAGAATATGTTCCGTTGAACATTTCTACTGCAAAACAACGCATAGATAAGCTGTAAAGATAATAATGAATAATTCTTCAATAGAATTATGTACCGAATTCGCTATTTTCTTCTATGAATTTATTTCACACGTGAAAATAGAAAATTCAAAATTCCAAAATTGGAAACTTCAGTTGAAAATTGTCAAGATTTAGTGGAAATCAATCCTTACCCTTTTGTCAATATCACCGTGCTGCAACTGTACAAATCTCGCCGAGATGGCACTGATGTAACTCTGTTGGTTGCTGAAAGCAACGCGTCCAGCCCCTTTGGGATACTTGAGCTCTGGATCGGTATCAATTCCAGCGTAACAAACACCACCATAAAGCCGATCCATTATCATGGCAAGCTCGACAGCTTTTAATGGCCGTGGTACACCACCGACAAACACCGTTTTTCGTGGATCGAGTGTCATCGATGCATCAAGAACAAAGTCAGCATCGCTCAAACGCCAAGGACGTATCTGCACTGGTTTGTCCTTGATTGTTGGTGAACTCACGCACAAGTAGAGCTTGTCATCGTCCTGAATGCATGCGTCAATCAACTGTTGCACTGAGCTCTCGTCCTGGAACGAAATTCAAATATTAATTCGATTGGGCAAATTGTGGAGCATTCAAACTTTGTTTCGTCATTCAAACATTCAGATTCTGTTGATTGTGGAATTATTTCGATACGATTCAGATTCGATATTCCTTTTTTCAATTAATTGTTTATGATCATTCTCATTGTAAAAAGCAATACGACCGATGAGAATCGTGTGTCCCAATTCATCAGCTGTTAAATTTTCATATTACAATAAATGATTTGCTCATGGTCTAATTTCTAGGCTCACTGAATAAGATTTTAATCATAATTACAATTCAATTCCTTCTAGAACACACTTTAGAGTGTGAATTTCTGGAATTCAATGTTTGTTGATACTCTGGTAAAAGTGCGTGCCCATACTGTTATCAATTTTTAGTTAGTTCACACGGTAATTCAATTAATCTGTTGTTCATCTCATCAATATAATTCCGTGCTTAGAATATTGTCATCTCGTGTTTTCAGCACCAAATTAAAAATTAAAACTTCATTTGGAATATTGAGTCACAGCTTCTTTTTATTCATATCAGAAATTTTGTATTTGGATATTAATATTATTTGTTCAATGTGAAAAAATCGATCGTCATTTTCACTATATTGCATTCAGATTCTCCTATCCTTAACGTCAAAATGTGAGATAATCTCATAATTCTAGATATTAATTCTAATCAACTTTGTTCGAAGAAAACCTGAGTAAACGCAATATTAAAAAAGTAGAATTATTCTATTTTCCTCTGACCTAAATGGGTTGGACAATTATGATTCGTTTATTCATGTTTATGCTCGTTTACAAAAATGAACGATTTGAATATTTCAGTTTTCTCAAATGAGTTGTAAAACCCATTCGTCGATTTTTAAAGGAGTTAATTTAAAAGAACATATCAATAAACACAAAAGAAGGTTTATTTTGAGACTTGTGATCTCAAACTGAGACTTTCAAAAATCTCAACTTCAGAATTTCAGGATTCAAATTAAAATTTTTGAAAATCTTATTTGAAGACCTTTGAAGTTTTAAATTAAAGTATAATTTTTTTGGGTGAAAACTTGCCAAAAAATAGTGAATATGAAAATAAAAATCATCTCCCCAGATGTCCCTAAAAACAATGACATTAAGATGAAATTTAGATTTTTAAAAATCTTATTTGAAGACCTTTGAAATTTTAAATTTAAGTATAATTTTTTAGGTGAAAACTTGGCGAAAAATAGTGAATATGAAAATAAAAATCATTTCCCCAGATGTCCCTAAAAACAATGACATTAAGATGAAATTGAGATTTTTAAAAATCTTATTTGAAGACCTTTGAAGTTTTAAATTAAAGTATAATTTTTTTGGGTGAAAACTTGACAAAAAATAGTGAATATGAAAATAAAAATCATTTCCCCAGATGTCCCTAAAAATAATGACATTAAGATGAAATTGAGATTTTTAAAAATCTTATTTGAAGACCTTTGAAATTTTAAATTAAAGTATAATTTTTTGGATGAAAACAACTAAAAATAGTGAATATGAAAATGAAAATCATTTCCCCAGATGTCCCTAAAAATAATGACATTAAGATGAAATTGAGATTTTTAAAAATCTTATTTGAAGACCTTTGAAATTTTAAATTAAAGTTTTATTTTTTGGGTGAAAATTTGGCGAAAAATAGTGAATATGAAAATAAAAATCATCTCCCCAGATACCCCCAAGAATAATGACATTAAGATGAAATTGAGATTTTTAAAAATCTTATTTGAAGACCTTTGAAATTTTAAATTAAAGTTTTATTTTTTGGGTGAAAACTTGGCGAAAAATAGTGAATATGAAAATAAAAATCATCTCCCCAGATGTCCCTAAAAATAATGACATTAAGATGAAATTGAGATTTTTAAAAATCTTATTTGAAGACCTTTGAAATTTTAAATTAAAGTTTTATTTTTTGGGTGAAAACTTGGCGAAAAATAGTGAATATGAAAATAAAAATCATCTCCCCAGATGTCCCTAAAAATAATGACATTAAGATGAAATTGAGATTTTTAAAAAACTTATTTAAAGACCTTTGAAATCTTCAAATAAAGTATATGTTTTTGGGTCGAAAAATTAACTAAAAATAGTGAATGTGAAAATAATAATGATTTCCCCAAATGCCCCTAAAAATACTGGTACTCACCTGGAACAGTAAAAAAGCGTATCCCTTGGGCGGAAAGTACGATTTGCTCTCGGCCTTGTGTGGCCAGTCAACGACCAGCTGCCCAAATCGCCGGAAACTAGCTGTGATTTCGTCTGTGAAAATGGAAAAAAAAACAAGTTTTCAAAAAAAATCGTAGATTTGTTTCGCTTCTGGGATTCCGTTTCGTTCCACTGATTACGTAGAACACTGCACTATCATTAAAATAAGAGAGACTCATCGTCATACCTTCGTCGATGTCCGGTGGTAGACCGCCAACAAAGACCTTCCGAGAGAAGCGCTCACCGGTTTCACTGCCCTGGCTGTGGGGGCTGCTGCGGCTCGGTGACGATAAGGGCGCATTCTGCGGTGCATTCATGCCACCGCTCACACCAACACCAACCCCCACACCAACGCCTACACCGTCAAGCTGTCCTGGTGCATTTGGATCCTCAAGGAGGGTTCCACCTTGCTCCTCGAGACCCGGGAAGAACGGTGATTTGCCTGGAACGAAAAATCAATTCATTTATTAATTAACGTGATAACACAAATGCAAGGTAATTTTAAAAAAATAATGGGCAAGAAAAATTGATATTTGATTCTTTAACTAAAGAATTCAAATTGAAGAAACAATTTTTTCAGTTGGAAGTGTTTTTTTAAAGTTATTATATCGATTATTATTTTATAATTAGATTTATAATTTTTCAAGGATCTTCATAACTCATTGAATTTTTGATGAAATGAGGTTTTTTTGGAAATTTCAATTCTTTTCATTCGTGACGAATCTAAATTGCAATTAATTAATAGTTTGGTTTCTGAGGTATGAATATTCAAAGAAAAAGGTCTATTTGGCCCCAGTCATCTCTAAAAAATTTTTAGATGTCGAAAAAGGGAGAAATCGACAAATCTGTTAATTAGTTTAATTGAATAAATTTGAGAATAATATGTACAATATTACTGGACATGAAAAATTGGCATGAAATCCTTCAACTGAAGAATTAAAATAGAAGAAACGATTTAATTCATTTGGAATTGTCTTTTCGCGTTATTATATAATTTATTTTTTCCATAGGGGCTTTTTAAAAAATCTGAATAACTCATAAAATTTTTTTTTAAATGAGCTGATTGTTTAAAAAGTGTAATTCTTTCCTTTTGTGATGAGTCTAGACTGTACACTCAACCGATCCATTCCTTTCTGAGTTTCGAACATTCAAACAAAAGTCCATTTTGCCCCACCCACCCATAAAAAAATTCTACATGTCTAAAAAGGATGAAAATCAACAAATTTATTAATTAGTTTAATGAAATAAATTTAAGTAACTGAAAAAATACATGAAAAATTGACATTTAATTCTCTAACTCAAGAATTGAAATAGAAGACTCGATTTTTGTCATTTGGAATTGTTTTTTCACGTTATTATATCGTATTTTTCCAGGGGGGGCGAGTGGAGCAAACCGCACACTAATAACTTTGTAAAAAATCTCAATTCATTGAATTTCTGACGAAATTAAATAATTTTTTTTTAGAAAACACAATGTTTTCCCTTTGTGATTGACCTACACATGTCCAAAAAAGATAAAAATCAACAAATTTATTAATTAGTTTAATGAAATAAACTCAACGACTGAAAAAAATACATGAAAAATGGACATTTAATTCTCTAACTGAAGAACTGAAATAGAAGACTAGGTTTTTGTCATTTGGAATTGTTTTTTCATGTCATTATATCGTATTTTTCTAGGGGGGGCGAGTGGAGCAAACCGCACCCTAATGAAAAAATCTCAACACTTCATTGAATTTCTGACGTATTTCAATAATTTTTTTTTAGAAAGCACAATTTTTCCCTTTGTGATGAACCTACACATGTCCAAAAAAGATCAAAATCAACAAATCTATTAATTAATTTAATGAAATGAACTCAGCGACTGAAAAAAATACATGAAAAATTGACATTTAATTCTCTAACTGAAGAATTGAAATAGAAGACCCGATTTTTTTCATTTGGAATTGTTATTTCATGTCATTATATCGTATTTTTCCAGGGGGGCGAGTGGGGCAAACCGCACACTAAAAACTTTTTAAAAAATCTTGATAACTCATTGAATTTCTGATAAAATGGGATAATTTTTTTCTCGGGACAGGAAAGTGCAATACTTTCCCTTTGCGATGAGCCCAGACAATTCTCAATTAATCCATTTGTTTCTGAATCCTGAACATGCAAAGAAAGTGTCCATTTTGCCCCACCCGCCCCTAAAAAAATGTCACCATGTCAAAAAAAGGGAAACCAACCGAAACGTTTCCTAATTGGAAATCTCACTCTCCGTACGGAAGCAGCCATTCCAAAACGACTAAAAACTCTGGATTCACCAAATTAACTGATACGTCAATTCACAATGTATTCGTATTCACGAAAAATCGGAGAGCTATTGGCTGTCTGTCTGTTATTGAAATCGTCGTTAAGGGGAACGAGAAAAAAACAGAAGGAACACACATGTACGTGGGGAGGGAACAATATCCGGGGAAACGAGGCGAGTCGAAGAAAGGAGCATCGGGGGTACTCCGAGAAACAGACGATTGCAATCGAGTGAGTGACAAGAGAACGTAGGGGAAGGGGTGGTAGAACGATCCGAAAATTTGTCTGGAATAAATTCAGTCGCGAGTTTTTTTAGCAATCTCCGATTTGTTTCACAAACGAATGGTTCTAGAGGGAAATGTCAGAGAGATTATTTTTGTAGATGAAATTTTCAATGAAAAATGTCGTTCAATATTTTTTGATGAAATAATTACAGAAGACATTATTTAAGAATTTATTGGAGATTAATTATTCGACTGGAACTTTTTTTTTTCATTAATTAATTGTTTAGGTATCTCCGTCTTCGTGATTTATTTTGTGTTATGTTTTGTGTAATTTTCAGTGAAAAATGTCTCTTGACACTTTTCGATAAAATCATTACAGAAGATATTATTTAAGAATTAATTGAAAATTAATTATTCGACCGAAACTTTTTTCTCATTAATTAATTGTTTAGTCATCTCCCTAATGAGTCATTTATTTTGTTTTTTGGATAAAATTTTCAGTGACAAATGTCTCTTGACACTTATCGATAAAATCATTAGAGAATCCCTTATTCAAGAATTAATTGGAGATTAAATATTCGACCGAAGCTTTTTTGTCATTAATTAATTGTTTAGTCATCTCCCTAATGAGTAATTTATTTTGTTTTATGAATGAAATTTCCAGTGAAAAGCGTCTTTTGACACTTATCGACAAAATCATTACAGAATCCCTTATTTGAGAATTAATTTGAGGTTAATTATTCGACCGGAGCTTTTTTGTCATTAATTAATTGTTTAGTTATCTCCCTAATGACTGATTTTAGAATGAAATGTCAGAGGGCTTGTCTGTAGCTGATGCAATTCTCAATAAAAAATGTTTTCTAATATTCTTTACTAAATCCACTCATTATCGGATTATTTTCTTATTCAATAATCAATTTGAGATGAATTATCGGATTTGGGCTATTGCCGCGCTTATTAATTCCTTAATTATCTTCTTAACGAGTGATTTTAGAGCGAAATGTCAGAAGACTTGTTTGTAGCTGATAAAATTCCCAACAAAAAATATCTTATGACATTTTTTGCTAAAACCACTAATCACCCGAATAACTCCCTCTTCATTAATCAATTCAAGATGAATTACTCAACTTGATTCATTTTCGCACCCAAAAACTACTCAATTATCTCCCTAATGAGTGATTTTACCGAAAAATATCAAAAGACATCATTTGTAGCTCATAAAATTTCCAACAAAAAATGTTTTATGACATTTTTTGCTAAAACCACTAATAACCGAAATAATCCTCTCTTCATTAATGAATTCAAGATGAATTATCTAATTCGATCTATTTTCCCGTCCATTACCTGCTCAATTATCTCCCTAACGAATGAATTTAGCGTAAAAAGTCAAAAGAAATTTTTTATAGCGCCTGAAATTTCCCACAAAAAACGTCATTTGACATTTTCCCCTACACCCACTCCTCATGGAGATAAACCGCTATTCAACTAGAACTGACGCATCAACTTGATGTGTTCCGTCTCCCCACTCCTCCCGCCGCGCTCACGTGTGTCTATTTACACCCGCGTTCACAACTAATCGTCATTTCGTCATCAACCCGACCAAGTAATTCCAAAGAACTGATTTCCCTTCCGTCACCGCCACTATTTTCTCCATTTTTTGCAATTCAATCCCGCAAAAATCAACCGCTCGTACCTCTCGTCCGCACTGGAAACACTTGTCTGCAGCTGCACATGTCGATCGTTTAGTTGAAAAAAATTTAATCCCTTTGATTTCCTCCGAAAAAGCCAACAACAAAGCGCGACTAGCACAGACTAAATTTTCATCCGACTCCAACACGCACAATAAAAGGGGTCAAAATGCGACTGATCGCAACGCGAAATTGAAAAAAAAGGCCGAGTGATCCGGAACCCCCAATCGCCAAACAGACAAGCTCGAGTAGGTGGGGGAGGAGCTAGAGATGACCGAGTGGAGGGGGAAATAGTGTGCAGCCGTCAAATTTTGTCACGGCAACATTGCAGTCGTTCCAAGAACAATCGTTTCCGTGAACTCAATTAAAAAACAAAAAAAATCAGAATAATGAACCCTGAATTTCGCAGTAGTGTAACGGAGACCGGTTGGAGCCGGACGAAATGACGCGAAAGGTTCTCCATTTTTGTACGCAGACTAGGTCTGTGCGCGCGCTTTCGCGCGCGCTTATCTTTTTGTCGTGAAAATGAAGAAATCGAATTTATTAAACTTCATATACTCATAGATGTTTTATAAAGATTGATAATGACTTAAAGAGAATTAAGAGAATGAAGAGAATGAAGAGTGAAACATCAATGAATAATTTTTTATTTTCGATTAATTCGTTTTTTTACTTTTTAAAATAATCTGATTAAAATCTGTAATTGTTGAAAAATGAGGTGAGGGTTATGAATTACTTTCCCAGAAAACTGAAAAAATTTCTTGAATTCTTCGGAAAATTCCAGTTTTCCAGATAATCGTAACTCTTCAAAGATTTTTCTCGAATTATTTGGGAAACCGAAGAATTTTCATGAACTTTACAGAGTTTAGAATTTATGTATGAAAATCTGAGAAGCGAGAATTGATCATTTGCGCGTATGATAAATATGAAAAAATTAAAATTTTGGAAGTGAAGAATAATTTGTGTTAAAAAAATTTAGAAATACTATGTTTTTTTCTCATGATCAACAATTAGACAATTTAGATATGTTTTGACATAAAGATAAACTTCACACATGAAAAAATGAAAAATACGACGCAGAAAAAAATNAGGGGGAAATAGTGTGCAGCCGTCAAATTTTGTCACGGCAACATTGCAGTCGTTCCAAGAACAATCGTTTCCGTGAACTCAATTAAAAAACAAAAAAAATCAGAATAATGAACCCTGAATTTCGCAGTAGTGTAACGGAGACCGGTTGG